CTAAAATAACCCATCGTAATGTATGTCTGAACTAGCTTGTAATATTAAATGGAATGTGATTTTTGCCAATGATAATAACTATTGTATAAAATTTTTGTGGATCCCATCCCATGTTGGAGTTGGAAAACATGACTTTGTAGATCGATTGGCCAATGAGGCTTGCAGGAAAGAAAACACTGATTATGACTTTGGACTATCTAATGCAATTATTGGAAACATACAAATTAAAGAAATTAATTCAGATTTAGAAGAACTAAGAAATGCCCAGAGGCCTGAAAGCTGCAGTATTAAAAGTTATGACAACTTTTGTAATAATAGGTATTTGTATGGTCAGCACATTAACCGGACCAGGCAATGTGATGTAGTCATTGCGCGAATTCGCCTTGGCTATAGACACATCTGGCAGTCTATAGGTTAGTAAGAATACTGAGAATACCACATCCAGAATACTCAGATTGTAAACTCTGTGATAAACCTTTAATGCATTCACTAGAACACTATATTGTTGAATGTGAAACTGTAAAAGATTTTAGACCGCCTGGTCTATTGTACCACCTTACCTTGAGGTTACCTTGAGGTGCTTCCGGGGCTTAGTGTCTCCGCGGCCCGGTCGTCGACCAGGCCTCCTGGTTGCTGGACTGATCAACCAGGCTGTTGGACGCGGCTGCACCAACTGTGTAACTATTTCATTGACTCAGTTGTTCTGGACGACATCCTAACAATTTATCCAAAATTTGCTTGTCCATTTTAAAGAATGAAGAACAATTTTATTTATATTACTTCTAAGCTGCATCACTTATGAACCCATCCCTGCCCTTGTGTGGCAGTATGAACATGTGAAAGTTGTTTTTACATATTCATACATTAAAACATTGATTGTAACCATGATATATATGTGCTTCAGCCTACAGTTTAGACCTATTGTCTTGTGTATGACTCTCTGTCCTGCGTGACAGTGAATACCAGCATTATCCTCACTTTAATAAGACTTAATCGAAATCCTCAGATTAGGCAAAATTGTAATTAATTTTGTCAATAGAGATGTTAATAATAATAATCGACTGTACTCGTTGTGGAGGTTCTCGACGTCTACGCTGCTACCTCTGGTCACGACCTTGATCCAAGGAAGGCCTGGTCGACGACCGGGCCGCGGGGACACTAAGCCCCGGAAGCACCTCAAGGTAACAACACGCCGCCCATTCTGTCCTTAGTCTCACATGCTCGGACGGTCAACTCGTCCTCTTAAAAATAACGTCACTTTTCGCTCGTATGCGCGGCGCTATGACCAAATTTGGACGTAATTTGAAATGAAATCGACCCACAAAAGTGACGTACTGTTGCGCGCCTTCCTGGCGGGCACTGTCGGTTTGTCTGTGCTTCCAACTGTGACTTTTTTTGCATATCCCTCATTACTGTGTCGTTATTCTTTTATTATATTTTTTGTTTTAGTTGTTGTTCTCCACACTGTTCATTCTTCAATGGAATATACATGGTTTTTATTCCAATTTTAAATGATTATATCTTTTGATCTCAGTTTTTTCAGTTTTGTGTCTGTCTCCGGAAGCCGATGTTTTGGTGGTCATCCTGGTCACTACCGCGGTTCTGCCTTTCTATTGTCCCCTCCAGCTGGCCTTCTTACACACAACTCTAATGCTCTTTTGATCCAGAACGATATTCATTTTATCCTCCTTTCTTTTTTGACCAACCATTCATTCCACTACTGCTCATATCTTTAAGAATAAGTGGTATACTGTCTGTTCCATTTATCTCCCTCCACATTTTCCAATTTCTCTTCTTCTTTGTTTTTTTTTACTTTTTTGGTCATCTATTGTTATTAATTATTTTAGTTAATTTTTTACCACAAAAGTGACGTACTGTTGCGCGCCTTCCTGGCGGGCACTGTCGGTTTGTCTGTGCTTCCAACTGTGACTTTTTTTGCATATCCCTCATTACTGTGTCGTTATTCTTTTATTATATTTTTTGTTTTAGTTGTTGTTCTCCACACTGTTCATTCTTCAATGGAATATACATGGTTTTTATACAATTTTAAATGATTATATCTTTTGATCTCAGTTTTTTCAGTTTTGTGTCTGTCTCCGGAAGCCGATGTTTTGGTGGTCATCCTGGTCACTACCGCGGTTCTGCCTTTCTATTGTCCCCTCCAACTGGCCTTCTTACACACAACTTATCTGAAATACCTCCTAGACTCAGTACCGGAGTTGAGCTCCTTTTCACTGATTTTAATTGTAGACATGTCCAATGGTGCGATGGTCTTACCATCTTACCAGAGGCCGCCTATTAGAACCTTCTGCTCTCTCTCTCTTCTACATTGTATTTATTGAATTTGTGCGAACCGACTCGTGTAGACTCTCACACTCGCACACTTCCTGTACTGATCTCTCTGCTCCTCTTCCATATACACTCACCTGACATGGCGGGTCCTTGATCACCTTCATAATAGTGATCCCCATCCTCGTATCCCTCGGTCTTTCGGCCCTCCTCTCTCTCTTGTCCTTAGCGGAGGTTTAATAAGACATACTGGATTTTTTTCCCCGTCCTTACTACTCTTCATTGTCAGTCTGATCTACCTTCTACCTTCCTCGCTAAACCTCTCGTGGCACACGGAAGTGCATTCTTTGGTAGAACTTGGGTTGCGCTCGTGCTGTGCTCTGTAAGTGTGCGACCTGGAAAATACACACCAACACCTGCAAATTCCTGAATAATTTATTTTTCAATATAAAATAAAACTTCATAATGTTTTTTCCGCCGTGGTTCTGTTATTGCGGATCCGGCGTTGATCGTGAATGAACTGGGTTCACTTTGTTTCACCCTCCTTAGCTTTAATTGTGTCCTCTTGCTCGCGCGCGATGTTGCTGGTTTCAGGAATTTCTCTTTGTCAATTTGGTCGATTCCTGTTAGTATTTTGGAAGTGGTGATCATATCACCTTATTTTCTTGTATTATCTTGTTTTGGCATGTTTAACGCCTCTGGTCTCTCCTCGTAACTCTTGTTTTTCAGTTCCGAAACCCATTTTGTAGCATGCCTTTGCCCCTTTTCCAGTTTCTTTATGTGCTTCTTGAGATTTGGGCTCCATACAACTGCTGCAAATTCCAGTTTTGGTCTCACAAAAGTCATGAACAGTTTCTTTAGTATTAGGTAATAACGAAACCATACACAAGGGAAGGGAATTTTCAGAGGAAAGCGCCAAGCCATTAGACTATATAGCACTGGGAAAGGGGTTAGGATATGGATTTGGGATGGGATGGGGGGGAAGGAATGGTGCCTCACCACATGGACGGTCGGGGATTGAACGCTGACCTGCATGAAGCGAGACAATCGCTCTACCGTCCAGCCCAAGTGGTTGAACTTAGGAATACACAAGCTACATACCTAAATCAGTAGACAATACAGGAATAAATATATAATTAAAAAATACTAATAATTAAAAATATCTGCAATTTAGAATAAAACCAAATGGAAAAGATGTCAATGAAAACAAACGTGTTGTCATCGTGTTTATTGTGGACCTCAGGCGACATCACATCCTCCAGCTGACGTCACACAATCCACCAACAGCCTCTGATGGCGAGTGCCGTATGATAGTAAACCAGGGCTGAGCATCACCTCATTGATCAACGCCTTGACAAACGCCACCATCAGCTTCCTCCAGAGAGCGAAGGCCTCACTTCTTGCGGGCGGCGCGGCGCTCCGTGCCCGATGGCCCAGGTGGCTGGGCGTCGTTCCTGTACCCTGTCCTCGTACTCCCGCTCCTTGCTCTCATATCTCCCTTCCCAGTCTTTAATTATTCAACACTTCCAAGTGCAGAATAGTTACCGGCTTAGCGTGTTCTCCTTATAATTACAAATGAAAAATTAGGAAAGATGATGATGAGAACCTGGAGCCATATGATTCAACAGGACGAGACGCCGTGGCATTAGTGTATCCCATACTGGGATACGTCCCGCTCAAGGCTCTATATATTTATCCCAACTTTAGAGCAGAGGCATCCTACTGCAATCGAATAAATAACACTTAAATAAATTAATACTCACTCATACTACGTGTAAACACGAGGCTCTGGGAGGGATCACTGACAACTGTTTAACTGTGTGTGTATTCTGCGGGGACTCAATCTGGCCTCGGGCGAGGCTCGTTGAACGGCGGCAGACCTCGAGACGCATTCATCAGTATTAATATATTGTGTATTAAAAATAGTTTTTCTCACATAAAATAATATTATTATTTATTGGAGATCTCTCTATAGTTAGGTTAGTTTAGGTGTTTCGGTTCTGTTGGCGATTATTTGTATTTGAAGTGGGTGAAGAATTTACAGAGTTGCGATTCAAACAGAGATCGTCAGCGAAAAACTGTTTGAAAAATGATCGACAGGAGATTGGCGGCTGGATTAACGAACGTTTGGCGTTTGTTGATGAGGACGGTCTATGTTTATGAATGAAAAATGCTTTACAAATGATTCACAACTAATAGCGTTTGAACATTTCTCGAACAGTGCTTCGCTGACGACCTCTGTTCGAACCACAACTCTGTAAATGCTTCATCCACATACTTCAAATACAAATAAACGCCAAAAGAACCTAAATACTTAACCTAACCTAAGCCTAAATGTGCACAATATACTAATATATATAATAACATTATTTTATATTTGAGAAAATTCCTATTTTGAATGAACACGTTAAAATTGATGACTGTGTCTTTGGGGTCGGCCGCTGGATGAAATGAACACAGCCTGAACAAGGGTTGCAGGATTCACCCACCTAATACAAATGATTACAAACAGAACCAAAATACCTATAACCTCACCTATTCTAGGCCTAACTATTAAAAAAAACTTTACAAAATAAATAATTATTTAAGTATTCTCGAGACAATAATGGTTTTGGTTACTCTCTACGTTTAAATTTAAGAATGTGCGTGTGGAGTCGGCCGTAGCTTGCATGGGTATATATATTGAAGATGGGTTTGAATAATTACCAACAGAACCAAAACACCTAACCTAACCTAGGCCTATCTAGGCGCTAAACAATATTATACAATATTAGTTGTAAAAGAGAAAATACAGTTTTTGACTTCAGCGGAAATATTGAAGACTGTCCCTTTGGGATGAGCCACACAAGTGGCAACTCTGAGAGGGACCACACAAGTGGCAACTCTGGGACCTCACAAGTGGCAACTCTGGGACCTCACAAGTGGCAACTCTGAGAGGGACTTATTCTATGACAAATTTAAGGGAATTATCATGCAATAAAAAAGTGTTAAATTCCAAGTGAAAACTGGTATCTTAAAAAGAGTTTTCAGCAGTGAGCACCAGTCACCGTGACACGACCTGCCTGTTTTGGTCATTAAGCTCACGAGTCAAACATTAATGTTGTCTACAAGTGACTCACTACAGAAACAAGTCAGGCGTCTTACTCATCATCAGTTAATGGTAAACATGGAATATAGACCAAAAGAGGACAGTCATGAACATAATTAATTTAAGGTCACTGTGGTACACTTTGTGGGATATCGTCAAGTTTACACTACTTTTTTCATTACAACAAAGATTAAAATTGTCAATTAATTTAGTTTTTCACTCTTCTTTCTTTACTTCTTCATTGTCTTCAATTTCCGTTGTTGACCTTTCTTCTTTGAGAGGACCTTTTTTTCGTATAATTCGGATGACAGTTCGCAGGATGAGCACCGTCCACATGAGGTTGAGCAATCCAACAGCGGTCAACAGAGCGAAGAAAATATAGGCCGAGGGCATGAACATGTAGGTGGTGGCCTCGAAAAAGACGCTGCGCATCACCCAGAACGGGTAGATCACACACCGGGTGACGAGCCACAGCACCATGAACACGGCGTATAGGACGTTGGCGGCTCTCTGCCTCCTGGCGTACACGCACATCTTGGCCAGCAGGAGCGGGATGTCCGCGCACTCGTGCACCAGCAACACCACCGTCCCTATGCGCGTAAAGTTGCAGATCCAGGAAAAAGTCATGAGCATCACTGTTGTCACATGGTGGACTATTATCTTCAACTTGCCATCCGTCTTCCTGCGAGGATGGACAATTTCCGAGACGGAGACGGCCCAGAAGTAGGAGAGGACTGTCATGTAGTACCACCAGACGTCGTCGTCGACGTTGTGGTACGGATAATCCTCCCAGCACAACGTAATATTCCACACCCAGGGTTTAGAGTACATGATCAGCCATCCGCTGATGAAGAAGACGATGTGCGTGATGGCAATCACGCCCGAGTTCAGGAACAAGTTGTATTTATTTTGACGGGTTGCAATGTACCGAGTCCGGAGCCACTTCTCGGCCTGGCGTACTGACAGGTTGGATGCTCGCAACGCCTCCAGCAGTACCACTTCTGGCACTTTTCTCCCATGCTTGCAGAATAATACCTCGAGGGAGGCATTGGGCTGAGGAGGAGGCGGCCGCCAGTTTCTGATACCCGCCGCCCGAGCCAGGGGGCCCAGCACCAAGGGCTCCACCAACAGGTGCTGGATGAGCAGGAAGACTAAGCCGAATAACAACGGATAAATCCAAACATCACGGAACTCAGGAAAGTGAAGGTCTTGAGTGCTCTGGAGATCCTGCCAGGAGATACCAGACGGAAGCCAGAAGTCTGCTCGCCACACCGTCTTGCTCACCTTCCGTAGAAACTCTCCGACCTACAAGAAACGACATATTATTGTGGCTAACCAGTCACCCTCCTGAAACACACACACACGCACACACACACACACACACACACACACACACACACACACACACACACACACACACACACACACACACACACAAAAACCAACGCAAAGTTAGAAAAGATTCAGAGGTATGCCACCACAGTAGTCCTAGAACTAAGAGATATGAGCTACGAGGAAAGGTTGCGAGAGCAAAACTTCACATCCCTAAAAGATAGAAGGGCAAGGGGAGACATAATCACTACCTACAAAATTCTCAGGGGAATTGACATGGGGGATAAAGACAAACTATTTAACATGGGTGGAACATGAATAAGGGGACACAGGTGGAAACTTAGTACCCAAATGAGCTACAGAGACATTATAAAGAACACACACACACACACACACACACAGAGGGAAAGCAATAGGATCTGAGAAAGGACAGAAGAGAGTCAGCTTCAGGGTGATGTACTCGAACATAGATGGGATCACAAGCAAGGCAAGTGAACTACGGGAAAGAACACAAGAAGTGAACCCAGATGTAATCGGACTCACAGAAACAAAACTCTCAGGACTCATAACGAATACGGTGTTCCCCAGGACTACACTGTAATAAGGAAAGAGAGGGAAAGAAGGGGAGGAGGTGGAGTGGCCCTACTAATGAGAAAGGAATGGAGTTTCAAAGAGATGGTCATTCCGGGCTGCAAGGGTTTCACAGACAACATAACAGGCACCATGACACTGGGAGGACCAAAAGTAGCAGTGATATATAACCCTCCACCAAATGACAGAAGACCAAGGCAAGAGTATGACAACAACAACATGGCAGTTAACACTATAATTGAGAGGGCAGCCTCTGCTGCCTGTAGAAATAGATCCCATCTGCTCATCATGGGGGACTTCAATCATGGAAGGATAGACTGGGAGAACAAGGAACCGCATGGAGGTGAGGATACATGGAGAGCCAAACTAATGGAGGTGGCGACAAGAAACTTTCTAAGCCAACATGTCAGGGAACCCACAAGGATGAGAGGAAACGATGAACCAGCGAGACTCGACCTAGTCTTCACTCTGAACGACTCCGACATAAGGGAAATCGGCTTTGAGGCCCCAGTAGGAATGAGCGACCACAGTGTACTGACGTTTGAGTATCTGGTTGAAGAAGGGTTATTGAACTCGAGGAGGGTTACTGAAAACAAAAGGCTGGCATTCCGAAAGGGAAACTATGAGGAGATAAGAAAATTCCTAACAGATATAACATGGGAAACAGAGCTCAGGGGAAAGACGGCCCAAGACATGATGGACTACATCACACAGAAGTGCAAGGAAGCAGCAAACAAGTTTGTCCCAGTCCAAAAGGAAAACAATGAAATGAAGATGAGAAACCCATGGTTTAATCAGAGATGTAGGCTAGCTAAGCAGCAAAGTAAAAGGGCGTGGAGAAACTATAGGAATAACAGGACACTTGAGAGCAGAGAAAGATACCAGAGTGCCAGGAATGAATATGTCAGGATGAGAAGAGAGGCAGAAAGACAATACGAAAATGACATCACAAGCAAGGCAAAGACTCAACCTAAATTGCTGCACAGCCACATCAGGAGAAAAACAACAGTAAAGGAACAGGTAATGAAATTAAGGATAGGGGCAGAAAGATTCACTACAAACGACAAGGAAGTGTGTGAGGAACTGAATAAGAAATTCCAGGAGGTCTTCACCTTAGAGCAAGGAGAAATTCCAGAGATAAGAGAGGGAATAGTTAACCAGGAACCACTAGAAGAGTTTGAGATTACCAGCGGGGAAGTAAGGAAGTGTTTACTAGAGTTGGATGTGACAAAGGCTATAGGCCCAGATGGAATCTCCCCTTGGATACTAAAGGAAGGAGCAGAAGCACTGTGCCTGCCACTCTCCATAGTGTATAACAAATCACTGGCAACAGGGGAACTGCCAGAAATTTGGAAAGCAGCTAATGTAGTCCCGATATACAAGAAAGGGGATAGACAGGAGGCACTGAACTACAGGCCAGTGTCCCTAACCTGCATACCATGCAAGCTGATGGAGAAGATTGTGCGAAGAAAGCTAGTGGAACATCTGGAGCGAAAGAACTTTGTAACACAGCATCAACATGGGTTCAGGGATGGCAAGTCCTGCCTCACAGGATTAATTGAATTCTACGACCAGGCAACAAAAATCAGGCAAGAAAGAGAGGGGTGGGCAGACTGCATATTTTTGGATTGCCAGAAAGCCTTTGATACAGTACCACACAAGAGGCTAGTGAAAAAGCTGGAGATGCAGGCTGGAGTGAAAGGGAAGGTACTCCATTGGATAAGGGAGTACCTAAGCAACAGAAGACAACGAGTCACTGTGAGGGGTGAGGTCTCAGATTGGCGAGACGTCACAAGTGGAGTCCCGCAGGGTTCAGTCCTTGGACCTATACTGTTTCTGATATATGTAAATGATCTCCCAGAGGGTATAGACTCGTTTCTCTCAATGTTTGCTGATGATGCAAAAATTATGAGGAGGATTGAAACAGAGGATGATAGTAGGAGGCTACAAGATGACCTAGACAGACTGAATGAATAGTCCAACAAATGGCTGCTAAAGTTCAACCCGAGTAAATGCAAAGTAATGAAACTAGGCGGTGGAAACAGGAGGCCAGACACAGGATACAGAATAGGAGATGAAGTACTTAATGAAACGGACAGAGAGAAAGATCTAGGAGTTGATATCACACCAAACCTGTCTCCTGAAGCCCACATAAAAAGAATTACGTCTGCGGCATATGCGAGGCTGGCTAACATCAGAACAGCCTTCAGGAACCTGTGTAAGGAATCATTCAGAATCTTGTATACCACATATGTAAGACCAATCCTGGAGTATGCGGCCCCAGCATGGAGCCCGTACCTTGTCAAGCACAAGACGAAGCTGGAAAAAGTTCAGAGGTATGCCACTAGACTAGTCCCAGAACTAAGAGGCATGAGTTACGAGGAAAGGCTGCGGGAAATGCACCTTACGACACTGGAAGACAGAAGAGTAAGGGGAGACATGATCACTACCTACAAAATCCTCAGAGGAATTGACAGGGTAGACAAGGATAAACTATTCAACACTAGTGGTACGCGAACAAGGGGACACAGGTGGAAACTGAGTACCCAAATGAGCCACAGGGACGTTAGAAAGAACTTTTTCAGTGTCAGAGTAGTTAACAAGTGGAATGCATTAGGCAGTGATGTGGTGGAGGCTGACTCCATACACAGTTTCAAATGTAGATATGATAGAGCCCAGTAGGCTCAGGAATCTGTACACCAGTTGATTGACGGTTGAGAGGCGGGACCAAAGAGCCAGAGCTCAACCCCCGCAAGCACAAATAGGTGAGTACAAACTGGAAAAGGTGCAAAGACATGCTACTAAGTGGCTCCCAGAACTGAAGGGCAAGAGCTACGAGGAGAGATTAGAAGCATTAAATATGCCAAAACTAGAAGACAGAAGAAAAAGAGGTGATATGATCACTACGTACAAAATAGTAACAGGAATTGATAAAATCGACAGGGAAGACTTCCTGAGACCTGGAACTTCAAGAACAAGAGGTCATAGATTTAAACTAGCTAAACACAGATGCCGAAGAAATATAAGAAAATTCACCTTCGCAAATAGAGTGGTAGACGGTTGGAACAAGTTAAGTGAGAAGGTGGTGGAGGCCAAGACCGTCAGTAGTTTCAAAGCGTTATATGACAAAGAGTGCTGGGAAGACGGGACACCACGAGCGTAGCTCTCATCCTGTAACTACACTTAGGTAATTACACACACACACACACACACAGGGGCCTCGTAGCCTGGTGGATAGCGCGCAGGACTCGTAATTCTGTGGCGCGGGTTCGATTGCCGCACGAGGCAGAAACAAATGGGCAAAAGTTTCTTTCACCCTAAGTGCCCCTGTTACCTAGCAGTAAATAGGTACCTGGGAGTTAGTCAGCTGTCACGGGCTGTTTCCTGGGGTGTGTGTGTGTGTGGTGTGGGGAAAAAAAAAAGTAGTTACTAAACAGTTGATTGACAGTTTAGAGGCGGGCCGAAAGAGCAAAGCTCAACCCCCGAAAAAACACAATTAGTAAACACACACACACACACAAGGGGGATCTGGTAGCTGAGTGGACAGCGTGCAGGACTCGTAATTCTGTGTCCCGGGTTCGATTCCCAGACCAGGCAGAAACAAATGGGCAAAGTTTCTTTCACCCTGATGCCCCTGTTACCTAGCAGTAAATAGGTACCTGAGAGTTAGACAGCTGTTACGGAGCTGCTTTCTGAGTGTGTGTGTGGGGGGAGGGAAACAAAATTAGTTAGTAAGTTAGTTATAGTTGATTGACAGTTGAGAGGCGGGCCGAAAGAGCAGAACTCAACCCCCGCAAGAACAACTAGGTGAAAACACACACACACACACACACACACACACACACACACACACATCAGTTGAAGCATTCCACTTCAACTGATTTTTCAGACATCCCTGTTTACAGGAGTTGTAGCTGATGTGTGGAAAAAGGCTAACATAGTTCCAATCTACAAAAGTGGCAGCAGAGAAGAACCCCATTAATTATAGACCTGTATCATTGACAAGTGTAATAGTCAAAATATTGGAAAACAAATAAAAGCTAAATGGGTAGAACACCTGGAGAGAAATATTATAATATCAGACAGACAGTATGGTTTTCGTTCTGGAAGATCCTGTGTATCGAATTTACTCAGTTTCTATGATCGAGCCACAGAGATTTTACAGGAAAGAGATGGTTGGGTTCACTGCATTAATCTGGACCTAAAAAAGGCTTTCGACAGAGTTCCACATAAGAAGTTGTTCTGGAAACTATAAAATATAGGAGGGGGTGACAGGTAAGCTTTAACATGGATGAAAATTTTTCTGACCTCGTGGTCCTGACCTCGTAATCAACACAATAACCTGGGAGGAGTGTGCTGGAGGTTCTTACTTACAATGGTGTCGTTGGTCAGAAACAGGACCATGGCGTCGCCCACTAGCACGTCTGCGTCGCTCTTGATCGTCGACATCTTGTGGGGTTCAACACTCAGTATTGTCCGTGGTTCATATTTGGTGTTGATAAGTGTAGTTGAGTCAGGAGTAACCAAGTGAGGTACGTGTGGAGGCTTTTTGAGTGGTGGTGGCCTGCCGCCGGCACTAGTAATCCAAACTGTAAGACTGTGCCCACTTTATACGCCCAGTGAAAAAGCTGACTGTACCCACTCTGCCACACACACTCCTGCCAAGCTTACCAGAGATAACGTATCTCCTCGTATGACTGATAGCAAGGCTCTCCGAACGTCTAAATTTAGTCTTTGTTTACACAATGGCAACCCGCTTTACATGCATTAAAACACAAAAGTGAAAACTTGAATCACGGAATTTAAGTTGCATAGGTCGGATTCCAGACGCTAAGCTCGAACCAACAGCTGTTGCACCTCTTAAGCACACACACACACACGCACGTTCACTCACTCATTTTAAGAACATTGAAACAGCGCAAACTGCCCAAGGTTTATTGACTTAAGTGAGACAGCTCTCATACCCAACCAACCAAACTCACTCATGTATTTGTTTAACCTTTTCCTCTTACAATCCAGCGTTCCTTGGTCTATAAAGTTGATCGGAAATTTATTCTATAAATCAACGAGCCTTTTCCCAAAATAATGTTTACCCAGGTGTTTTCTGAGTCTCAACTTACCTAGTTTGTGTTCATTTTGGTGGTTTATTTCGTGTTGGCTTCTTACACAATCCATTCCATGCTGAGGAACGACTCGTGAAGCGTACAAGAGTCAGTGAGGCAAAATGTATCCATGAATTGAGCCCCAATGTTCTAATTCCTGAGCAACCACAGGGCAAAACGCATTGATGTAACAATCAATTAGGGATGATCCTTTGTTGATTAAACGTTACTCGACCATGTTGTCTCCGTTGGGTTAAATGAAAGTTAAAATGGAAATGTTTTCAATACAATAAATTAAGATAGGCTATTTAGCGTTGATGTACGTCAATTATGTCATTATGGAAGGAAACATCACACATCAGACGCCCCATACATGATATATAGGAGTCAGCCTTTGGACCCGTTTTCTTTTGTTGTTGTTGTTTCTTCACCATACTCCAAATATGTGCAATTACACTCAGCAATAATAGTCAAGAGTCATATTTAACATTGGCATCGTATTTTTCAAACTGCAGGTCAATTTCGGCAAAATATAACATATATCCGTTTTCCCTTATTTGCATATTTTCCACATAACACGAAGTAATTTAAAACTCCAAATATGTGAAACCACACTGAATTACGCTGAAAAATAATGGCCAACTGTTATATTTCTAACTAGCTGTACCCGGACACGCGTTGCTGTGGCTCAGCAACGCGTGGACACAGCAACCTTTCCCTGTCTCCAAGTCCTCCCCACCATTCCCCCGTCCCATGTCATTATGGAAGGAAATCACCATCCCCCACTCCACCGTCCTCCCCACCATCCCCCACTCCACCGTCCTCCCCACCATCCCCCACTCCACCGTCCTCCTCACCATCCCCCACTCCACCGTCCTCCTCACCATCTCCCACTCCCCCGTCCTCCTCACCATCTCCCACTCCCCCGTCCTCCTCACCATCTCCCACTCCCCCGTCCCATCATCCTCATTACCATTCCCCCTCTCCTGTCCCTCTTGTCCTCCCCGCCATTCTCCAATCCCTCGTCCCCTCATCCCCACCATCCCCAACGCCCCCATCCGTTCATCTTCCCTACCATTACCCTTTACCCTGTCCCCTCGTCCTCCCCACCATCCCTCACTCCCGTTCCTTCGTCCTCCCTACAATTCCCCATTCCCTTGTCCGATGCATTACCAAATGGTCTGATGTTCCCATCAGAAAATTGCGAACATCAAATGATATGATGTTCCCATCACTGAAAAATAAGAACAGTTAAAAAAAGAAATTATAAAATCTAAAAAAATAAACTATACTCACGAAATTAACGCTATGGTAAACTGTACAGTTCAATTCCAACACAATGTCACACAAAATAATTCAATCGAAATTAAAAAAAAAAATCAAAATTTATGAAAATTCAATTTATTAATGCAATCAGAAACACTGAAATGGAATGGTAACATAATTAGTATAGCGTATGTTGCACTTAAATGCAACAGATGGCGCTGTTTAAAAAAAAAAGCATGGATTTACCAGTCACAGGTGTGGCATCTATACTTTTAATCACGAAATGAACGGTATGGTAAACAACACAGCTATATTCCAATGCAATGTCTCACAAAATAATGAAATCAGAATAAAAATAAACCAAAATCTATGAAAATTAACTTTATCGGTGCAATCAGAAACATTGACATGAAATCGTAACATATTTAGTATAGCGTGGGTTGCTCTTCTGTGCAACAGATGGTGCTTTGAAAAAAAAAACATGTTTTTACCTGTCACAGGTGAGGCATCTATATAGTAGGTACATAAAAACATGCTCCTTTTCGAATGCAACGTTGTGTCAAAATTTCAAAACAATCGGTAAAGAGGTTTCGAAGATTTCCATCACATGAAAAACCCATGAAAAACAGTTTAAAAAAAATGCTATTTTTCCAGTCACAGACGTGACATATATATATAGTATGTATATAAAAACGCGCTCGGATGCGAATAGAACCTTGTGTGAAAATTTCAAAGCAATTGGTGAAGAACTTTCGGAGATTAGCGATTTTGAACAAACGAACATTTTCAACTTTATTCATATAGATAAAGATCGATTTTATCAAACTGAAGATGGCGGCGGTGCGTAGTATTCCTATTGGTACTACTACAGGACCACCAGGACTACTGCAGTACCACCAGGACTACTGCAGTACCACCAGGACTACTGCAGTACCACCAGGACTACTGCAGTACTACCAGGACTACTACAGTACCACCAGGACTACTACAGTACCACCAAGACTACTACAGTACCACCAGAACTACTACAGTACCACCAGGACTACTGCAGTACCACCAAGACTACTACAGTACCACCAGGACTACTACAGTACCACCAGGACTACTACAGCACCACCAGGACTATTACAGCACCACCAGGACTACTACACTACCACCAGGACTACTGCACTACCACCAGGACTACTACAGTACAACCAGGACTACTACAGTACTACCAGGACTACTACAGTACTACCAGGACTACTGCAGCACCACCAGGACTACTACACTACCACCAGGACTACTGCAGTACCACCAGGACTACTACAGCACCACCAGGACTACTACAGTACCACCGGGACTACTACAGTACCACCGGGACTACTACACTACCACCAGGACTACTACAGTACCACCGGGACTACTACAGTACCACCGGGACTACTACACTACCACCAGGACTACTACAGTACCACCAGGACTACTACAGCACCACCATGACTACTACAGTACCACCGGGACTACTACAGTACCACCGGGACTACTACACTACCACCAGGACTACTACAGTACCACCGGGACTACTACAGTACCACCGGGACTACTACAGTACCACCGGGACTACTACAGTACCACCAGGACTACTACAGCACCACCGGGACTACTACAGTACCACCGGGACTACTACAGCACCACCAGGACTACTACAGTACCACCGGGACTACTACAGTACCACCGGGACTACTACAGTACCACCGGGACTACTACAGCACCACCAGGACTACTACAGTACCACCGGGACTACTACAGTACCACCGGGACTACTACAGTACCACCGGGACTACTACAGCACCACCAGGACTACTACAGTACCACCGGGACTACTACAGTACCACCAGGACTACTACAGTACCACCAGGACTACTACAGTACCACCAGGACTACTACAGTACCACCAGGACTACTACAGTACCACCAGGACTACTACAGTACCACCAGGACTACTACAGTACCACCAGGACTACTACAGTACCACCAGGACTACTACAGTACCACCGGGACTACTACTACCACCAGGACTACTACAGTACCACCAGGGACTACTACCACTACCACCAGGACTACTACAGTACCACCAGACTACTACTACAGTACCATACAGGACTACTACAGTACCACCAGAACTACTACAGTACCATCAGGACTATTATAGTACCACCAGGACTACTACAGTACCACCAGGACTACTACAGTACCACCAGGACTACTGCAGTACCACCAGCACTACTACACTACCACCAGGACTACTACACTGCCACCAGGACTACTACACTGCCACCAGGACTACTACAGTACCACCGGGACTACTACAGTACCACCGGGACTACTACAGTACCACCGGGACTACTACAGTACCACCATGACTACTACAGTACCACCAGGACTACTATAGCACCACCAGGACTACTATAGTGCCACCAGGACTACTACACTACCACCAGGACTACTACACTGAAAACCAGGACTACTGTAGTACCACCAGGACTACTACAGTACCACCAGAACTACTAAACTGAAACCAGGACTACTACAGTACCACCAGGATTACTACAGTGCCACCATGACTACTACAGTACCACCATGACTACTACAGTACCACCATGACTACTACAGTACCACCAGGACTACTACAGTACCACCAGGACTACTATAGTACCACCAGGACTACTACAGTACCACCAGGACTACTAGAGTACCACCAGGACTACTACAGTACCACCAGGACTACTGCAGTACCACCAGGACTACTACAGCACCACCAGGAGTACTACACTACCACCAAGACTACTACAGTACCACCAGGACTACTACAGCACCACCAGGAGTACTACACTACCACCAGGACTACTACAGCACCACCAGGAGTACTACACTACCACCAAGACTACTACAGTACCACCAGGACTACTACAGCACCACCAGGAGTACTACACTACCACCAGGACTACTACAGTACCACCAGGACTACTACAGTACCACCAGGACTACTAGAGTACCACCAGGACTACTACAGTACCACCAGGACTACTACAGTACCACCAGGACTACTGCAGTACCACCAGCACTACTACAGCACCACCAGGAGTACTACACTGCCACGAGGACTACTACAGTACCACCAGGACTACTACAGTACCACCAGGACTACTAGAGTACCACCAGGACTACTACAGTACCACCGGGACTACTACACTACCACCAGGACTACTACAGTACCACCAGGACTACTACAGTACCACCAAGACTACTACAGTAC